GCCAGTAACAAAAAATTAAGTGGCATAAGAAAAAAGCTCACCTGCCTCAGAAACATAAAAGCCTGGCTCTTCCTAAACAAATGGCAGATTTAAATATTTTCAATAATTAAAAACATGTCCCAAAAGTCTTGGTGCAGTTTTCAGTTATTAAAGCTATAAAAAGCTTAAAATTACACTAAGACTTTTGGGACACTCTATATAGAGGAGGGAGGGAGGTGGAGAGAATGCTTAGAACCAAAGCAAGTGGTTCTGCTTTCACACAGAAAGCTCAGATAGAAACCTCAAAGTATGCACAATATTAATCATGGTACAAACAAAACAACTGATGATACATTTAGAGGATTATTTCAGAAAGAGGAATAAGTACTATAAAGGAGACTATAGTATCATAGATTCAGAGTTGGAAGGGATTTTAGAGGCTATCAAATGCCAAACTTATTTTACAGATAAGGAAACTGAGGCCCAGAGAGGTTAAGTGTCATACTCAATGTCACATAGCTAGTAGTATCAAAGGGAATTTTAATTCAGGTCTTCCTGACTTCTTAGTCATAATTATATTAGAAAAGAGATAAGGAAAATATTAGAATCTGAAGGGGGGGGACCATCAATACCAGAATAAAGTATTCCCAAATGTTCTCTCTTGCTGTCTCTCTGTTTCAGTGTCTTTCTCTCTTTCTGCTTTTCTGTCTGTCTTTCTGTGTCTCTGTGTGTGTGTCTCTATGTCTCTCTCTCACACACACACACACGTACATGGTGAATATTAGATGAAGAATTGGAATAATACAGTAGAAGCAAGGCCACGTTGTAAAGGTTACATTTCAAGTGCCATAGACGGGGAGTGGAGAGGAAGAGTGTGACTTGAATTCACAATAATTCTAAGATTTTAGTGAGGCCATGTTGGCAAAGGGACAGAAGATGACTCGGGTAAGTTCCAGACTTGTTGCAAAATATTTACAAAGAAGAAAAACAAAAATAAGTTGCCCGATGAAGTTAAAAAAGCAGCAGCTAGTAGGACAACATAAAAAATTAGGGAATGTATGGAAAGTCAGAGAGATAAAAAGCAGCATAAAAAACCAAGACAGGCTTACAGGGACAGCAGATATAGCTTTTAAAAAATCAAGAAGAGAAACTAAGAGGACAAATAAGAAAAGAGAAGAACCCATGAGCAATAAGGACAAATAAAATGAACAGAAATTGAGATAGCCATATTCAAAACTGTACCATACACAAGGTGAGAAAGGAGAGTGGCAGGGACGAATCAGAAAGGGAAATTAGAAAACTGGAACAGGTAGCAAAAAGCAGCCAAAGCGAGGAGAAAACCACGCTTTCCTAGGCTAGAAACAAAGGTGACATTGGACTTCTCACCAGCTACGTTTGAGTTCCTTTGCCTCCACTATCCCACCACCACCAAACAGGCCCCTAGTTCAACAGATATCACTGATCTTAGAAACAAATTTCTCTCCTCCCAACCACACTTTCAGAATTTAAAAACCAAAAACCAGCAATGAGGCAAATGCTGACTGCAGAATGAAAAGGAGATGAACTGAAAACCACTAAAACCCTGAAGCTATGGTATCTCTGCCTTTGATACTCTTTTAGGTTTCTTCTCCATCCTTAGACAAAGAATTGATGAGGAGCCTAGGAAAATGAAGAGGAAGGAATACAATATGAGTAGTATTTATTGGATGGTAGAAGATGAAGGAGTCTAGTAAGAAATAAGGAGTACAAAAATAGGAGAAGTTCCATCAGTAAGAATAAAAAAAAGCAAAGAAAGAAATAAGGAAGATACATTGCTGGGTTTTATGTTTGACATCAACTGTTCGACAACTGATTGTTGGAGAGTAAGGTAGTACAGTGGATAGAGTACTGGGACTAGGGTTGGGAAGATTTATCTTTGTGAGTTCCAATCTGACCCCAGTCACTTACTAGCTGGGTGACCCTGGACAAGTCCCTTAACCCTGTTTGCCTCAGTTTCCTCATCTGTCAAATGAGCTGGAGAAGCAAATGGCAAACCATTTCAGTATTTTTGGCAAGAAAACCAATGGTCATACACAACTGAAATGACTCAACAAAAACCTCAACTATTTGACTTGCACAGCTGGATACAATTTTTGTGATTATTTAAAAGCAAACCAGGTATACAAGAGGACTTAAGGAAATGCTAGCAATAGAAAAAGAAAGAGAACTTTTTGAGTATCGACTTCTCATGGATACCCCCAAGATTTTGTAAAGTTTTGTATGATAGGATCTCTGGAGTTATATTTAGTATTCTAGTGGAGTACACACTTGTTGAATCAAAATAACATCTTTCAGCAAATTGCAGCTTAATGTGAAACCATTTGGTTTTTCCTCAGAGAAGAAAATGAATTACAATGTGCTCACCTTTGTTTTATGCTTTTGTTTATGGACCTCAGTTATCCTTAATGTAGGGAACTCCTGGTATGGAGATTCCCTACACTAAGACAGGCTGGCAAGTCATCTGTAATTTATGGTCTTAGAGCCTCCCACTGGATCCTGGGCCACCTCCATTCCTCCTGATCTATATCTTTCCAATGGACCCAGATGGCTCTGGAGGAGAAAGTGAGGCTGGTGACTTCGCACAGTCCTCCCTCACTTAAATCCAACTCACTTGCATGTCATGGCATCACCTCCATGATGTCATGGTCCTCTTTGAGAATGAAGGACAAACAACAACAACAATGGTCTTAGGGAATTGCCAGGGAGCTCTGAAACATTAAGTGACTTGCCCACAGTCATGCAGATATTATGTGTCTGAGGGGTAGCTAGGTGGTGCAATGGGTAAAGCACCAGCCCTGGGGTCAGGAAGACCTGAGTTCAGATATTATGTGTCTGCATCAGGACCAGACCTGGACCTGCATAGGTCATGGGGCAAGTGTGCCAGTATACCTAGGCCCACCCATCATACTGTCTATGCCTACCTATTAACCCATGTCTTTCTTATTCCACCACTGGCCTGCTCTCTCGCCTATACTATACTGGCTGTCAAGCTGAGTTTGTTACTGATAAATTGTTAGTAAAGCTGATGTTTTGGGTGGGCGTTCTATGACATAATAGATCTGTAAAGTAGGGACACAGAAAACCCATACTGGAGATTAGATTGTTCTGTATTGGAATCTTTCAGATGAGGTTTAAAAAAATAATTTTTTTCCATTTCTTTCACACTCTGAAAATTCGTTCTGGTTAAATGAGTACTAGACCTATATGCAGCTGAATAGGACAGCTGGAAGGCTAGTTCACAGAATCACTAGAAAACTTTCATGACCAAAGAAGTATATTTGCATTTCTTGTGAATCCTAAAAATACTATGGAAAATTATATACAACATTAACATTTTCAGTCAATGAACACTGACTGAATTGTAAGTGATTGGCTTTCAAAGCCTTGGCACCTGGGTACCAAAGCTTAAATCACTGTTTAAAAAAATGAAAGTGACTAGTGACCATGTGGGTAGCTAGATGGCATGGTAGATAGAGTGCTGAGCCTGGAGTCAGAAAGACTCATCTTCCTGAGTTCAAATCTGGCCTGAGACACTTACTAGCTGTGTGACCCTGGGCAGGTCACTTCACCCAGTTTGCCTCAACTTCCTCATCTGTAAAATGAGCTGGAGAAGGAAATAGCAAATCACTCCAGTATCTTTGCCAAGAAAATCCAAATGGGGTCACCAAGAGTCACACATGACTGAAAAACAAAAGTGACTTCACAGTACAAAGAATATTGTTTTGTCTTTCTCAACTCTATGAGCATTTGAAAATCATCTTTTTCCCAAGTGTTTACCTTTAAATCTAGTTATCACTTTAACTAAGTCTTCTCACAAATATAAAACATACTCACTAAGAGGTTAATCACCGTGTTAATTAGAAGTTAAAAATAAGTAAATGCACACTTTAAGAAGTTAATTATTAAGAGCTTTTTCTTCTGTCTGAGCCTAATGATAACCAAGTACCGGCCCGTTTGGTCAAAACTCAACAGTCAAGAATATTTCACATTTATATAGTGCTTTACAATTAAAAAAAAGTCATTTTCATAATAATCTTCTAAGTTAGAAGCACAGTTAAAATAGCTATTTAGAGATACAGAGAAGCAGTGTGGGTCAGGGGCTAGAGCAGGGCTAGCCTGAGGATCAGGATGAAGATGACTGCAGGCCAGTGACTTAACTTCTTGGTGTCCCAGGGTAGCCCTCTAAGACTACAACTTAAGGATGATTTGCCAATTTAAAATTTGCTGATTCTTTCTCTGGTTTCAGTCTCCTGTTTCTCTCTCTCTTCTATCAGTGCAGCATTTTGCAAGCATGTCAGTGAAGTGGTTATTAGCATCTTTATCATCAAGCTCTCTGAAGACGACAAATAAAAACGTTGCCAACTTTATACTGCAAAAACTGAGAATTACATATTTGAACAAAAAGCACAAGAGTGTCAATATAAACAGAAGAGGTAAATAAGCCCTTGGAAAATGAAAATTCACCTAAGAAGTTATTGACTCCTCCTCACAGGGGTGGAGTCTAATTTGGACACTTTGCCAGACACTGAGCAAGGGAACTAAAAAGTGCATTGCAGTTAATGGACTAAGGGGTCGAAGTGGTGTTTTTCTTTGCATTAACATTAGATTGCTAGGTCTAAAAATTAAATATAAATTAGGACTGAATTCTTTTATTATTATTCAGATATATTCTGAAAACTCATATTCCTTGTTAGTCTTGAATACATCCTGATATTTTTTTTTTTTAAACAGAGATCTACATAGCCCTCAGAGTCTTTGGGTTCCCAGTAAACCACTAAGTGTTGGAAAGTACTCAGTAACATTAGAGTTATAGTAGATAAATTCTGATTTATGGAAGCACATGAAGGACCTCACATGACAAGTTTCATATTGGACGTAGCTTTATCTGTGTTGAGAGCACTGAAGGGCATCCAATTGGAATGTCACCAGTGGCTACTGAATTGTGGGGGGGGTGTCTAGCTAGGACATTGAAATGGTCCTACCTTGTAAGCATCAGGAATGTTGACTGTCTCCCCATGTTCCCCAACATAGCCAATGATGCCTTTTCCCCAAGGCACCTGCACCTCATTAGAGTTCTCAGTGCTGCTGCAGGGAAGGAATGGGGTCCCAGCATGCACATCAAAGAACTTAGAGACCAGGCTCTTCTTGCCTGAGGCTGTCCCCTCCACCAAGAACAGGGAGCATCGGTCAGCATCCACCATGAGGCAGACAAAGATGAGGATCTTGTAGCTGAGACTGGTGAGGTCCAGGTCGTTGGAAATCTCCTTGACCAGCTCCAGGAAGAACTGGCGTTCGTTGTTCTGCTTAAGGTGGCACTTGTAGTCAATAGCCGTTGGAGGATATTGGGGTAAGTTCACCCGAGACTCCAGGAGGGCGCTGAGAATGTGGGCAGTGGTTGGAGGCAGGGAGCTGGCCTTTCGGAGCAGGGCCCTGCGCCTCACGCTGCTCAGTGGCTCTTGGGCCCTGGATGTCACTTGCTCATCATAGGTCCTATTCACGTGGATGGCTTTGGACCGGGCAAAGCTCTTTCTCAGCTCTTTCTGGGAAGCCCTCCGCTGTAGGCCCCCATCTCCTCCACGGCTACTACTGGCCCAGTTGGGACTCATGGGAACGTTGCTACCATCTCCCACACCTGCACTGGGCTGACTGTTCACAGACCCCTGATGGACGGAGACACCACAAGTACCACCACTAGCAGCAGCAGCAGCACTGCTCTCGAGGGTCCTGGCCTCAGAAGCAAAGTGGCCTGCGGTTGAGACCCTCTGATTTTGGTCATGCTTCTTCAGCCACTTCTGCACCTGCTCCTGCCTCCCCTTCCTCATCAAATAGTCTTCGAAAAGATCTGGGTGCCTGTCCAGGAAACTTTCCACCTCCCCAAAGTCCAGGCAAGGAGCTGACATGGTCCCAGCTGTGACTGCAGACACCTCTGGGACACTTGGGCACAAATTTTTACCTACTGCCAGGGAACTCTTTGCCTCCACATGTTCTACCCCAATCAAGCACCACGAACTCCAAGGGGACCCTTCTTTGCCAGCCTGTGGGTCATGTGGGGCAGAGGAATCCCAGCAGGCAGGTTTCCTCGCGTTCCTCCAGCTCAGAGGGTGGGTCGCATAGGTACTCCAGCTAGCCCTTCTTCCACTGCACTCTGGGTACCAGACTCACAGGTGCCTGGAGCCGCGCTGCTGCCGCAGCTGCTGTTTACTTCTAATCAAAAAAGAAAAAGAAAAAAAGTGCGGAGCTAGCTAGTTGCTGTTGCTGCTGCTGCCCTCCTTGCTTCTGCTGCCCTCCTTGCTTCTGTTTCTGCTGTTATCGAAATCGATGAGTGGACCACAGTGAAAGCAGTAAGGGAACTGATGCTTGGATGTTAGGGGGGTTGGGGGAGAAAAGACACGCCCCTGAGTGAGGGGCAGGGACTGGAGGGAGGGAGCAACGGAGGAGAGGGATGAAAAGCTCAAGTCAACAAACCAGAGACTATGGCAGGCTGTCGCTCCATGGGAGGGAGTTCAGTAACCAGTGAGACAAAAACCACGGGGATCGGGGTGGATGGCGTTTCTGCTCGGAATGGAATGAGGGGAAGAGGAAAGAAAGAAGAGTCTTGTTCTTATCGTCTTCCCTCCTCTCCTCGCCTTTTGCAGCCCCCTCCTCCCTTCTCCATCCTCCCCTACCGGGTTATTCAGCAGCATTTGTTGCAAGGATCCCAGCAGGAACACAGCTGGGACTTTAAGAGGAAGTGTTTGTGTTTTACAAGGAAATCAGAACCCAGAGGTTAGTTCCCCTGGAAATGAAGATGGACAAGGAGAGGTAGGGCTATTTTCTGTTTTGTTTTGCTTTTGGAGGGGAAGGGGGGGGTGATTAGAGGTTATTCACTTGCCAGATTAGAGTACTACGTGATTAGTGTCCTGTCCCTGCAGAGAATTCAAGAAATATTAATTGAATTAAATTTCCCCCAAAGTACCAGATAAAGTTCTTTGTGCAAGCTGTTCCGTGTAGCTTGTTGAAATTCATTTACGAAGTAAAGGGAAACCAGATTTACCAGGTAAACCCATTAGGGGAAGCTTAGCTCAAGGTAGGATAATATATTCACTGGCCTGGAGAGAAGGGGATTGGGGAGGGGGGAAAGAGAAGGAGGGAGAGAAAGAGGGCAGGAGAATTTTTTCCCCAATCCTCTATACTTCTATGATTTCTTTCTTCTTCCTCCATGAGTGACTTACCCTGTAATCATTCCTTTTCATCCCCAAGCCCACAGTCAGATGTGCTTTCTATCCCTATGAATTTCTAGTGCTTTTATGTAATGAATTTGATTATTCTTTCTCCAGCCTGAAAGTTCCCTGAACCTGACTTCTTTCTGCAGTTAGGTGTCTCGTTTTTAAAAATATAGCTAGTAAGTCTTAAACAATTCATGGGGAAGGGAGGAGCATGTCAGAGAAGTGGATCTTTGCAGGCAAGTGATCTTACTCCCAGGACAGGTTGCAGATCAACTCTGACCTTTCAGAGGAGAAAAAAGCAGACAGGAACAGGACTATTGTGATCCAGTCTTATATGATACCATTAAATGAGCTAATGGATAGGATCAACATCCAAGAAATGGAAGATATATTCACAGTGGTGTGCAAGTAGTAAGAATTCAATCAACATTTATTGTATTGATCTGCCTCCTGCTTCTCCCTGAAGAATTCTAAATAGTCAAAATTGAGGCCCACCAGAACCATCTTGGGGGCCTGAAAGTGGGATCCAGTAACTGACAGTGCTTTGAAGTTCTACATTTGTTCCTCTTGAACCATTAGCAGGGTCCAAGAGGATAGAGTGTCACTTGTTTAAAAGCTCTGTGTTTTGAAGTTTTCTTGGATGAAGGAGAGAAGAGATACGGATGCAGATTGAGGAGAGGCCAGTCTTGGAATGTCCATCTTATACGAGCACTGGGTTTGGAATCAGAAGATTTAGATTCAAATCTCAGCTCTGGCTAGCTGTGTAACTGAACAACTCATTTAGCCACTCTGTGCCTCAATTTCTTCAATTGTAAAATGAGAGCACTGGACCAGATGATCTCTAAGGTTTCTTCCAGTGTTAAATTCTATGATATTAAAGGCAATAAGCTATTTGGAGTCACAGAGCTAATTGGGTAAAACTTCTCCCTGATTCAGTTCTTAGTCTCAATAGTATTGTTAATTAGAGAAGGGCAGAGGGAAAGAGTGAGGTGAGAGACCTAGGGGAGATTGGGAGAAATCAATTTAACAGCATTTTGATGGCTATGGTGTGCTAAATCCCCTGCTTAAGGCTTCAAGTGCAAGAGAGGAAGCTTCCAAACTGCTTTGGCTCCTCATTTGATTTTCACTGAAAAATGCTCCTTTTTGGTGGGGGATATGGGGAAGACATAGAGGCCTGGGTTGAAGGTTGCTCCTTACCTAAGTGTATGATTAATGGCATTGCTTCAATTGACATTTCTACTTTATTTTCAGGTTCTTGAATGAAATCAAACCCAATCAGATCAGCTCTTGGGGCTCAGAAGATGCTGCTGTTGCTGCTGTTTTGCTGCTAAGTACTTTCCTTATCCCTACTCTGCCATTTTCCTGCCCTGGATAATTTTGATGGTTGTACATATATTTACCCTCAGATGTTAGAGGGACTTCAGTCATGTATAAGTCCTGCAAACAATTCAGTAACAAGTATTTATTAGGCACTTATTATGTTCTTGGAACTGAGCTAAGCCCTCAGGATACAAAGAAAAAGTTAAAAAAAAAAGGGGGCAGCTAGGTGGCAAAGTGGATAGAGCGCTGGCCATGAAGTCAGGAGGACCTGAGTTCAAATCCAGCCTCAGACCAAACACTTAACACTTACTAGCTGTATGACCCTGGGCAAGTCACTTAACCCCAATTGCCTAAAAATAAAAAAAAAAGAATGAGAAAGCTAAAAAAAAAAAAGAATGAAAAAGCTTTAAAAAAAAAAGACCCTGCCCTCAGGAAGCTTACATTCTAGTGAAGGAGACAGCACACACATAAATATGTATAAACAAAATACATAGAAAGTAGATATAAAGTGACCCAAGAGAGGAAGACATTAGCAGGAGGTATGAGGCAGGAACCAGGAAGGAGACCAATCAAAAAGTCACTGAAGCAAAGCTACTGAGTCTGCTACCTTACAGCTGGAAAGTACCTTAGAGAAAACTGAATTAAACCTCTTCATTTTACAGATGAAGAAAATGAGCTCCACTGGAGAGAGGAATTAACTTGCCCAAGGTCATACAAGTAGTAAGTACCAGAGCTAAGATTTAAATCTGATCCCCTGACCCAAGATAATAATAGAATTTATAAAGCACTTTAAGGTTTGTGATGCCATATTATTTTATCCTTACAACAACCCTGGTAGGTAAGTAGGTAGTAGGTAGGTACTAACTATTGTTCCTATTTTATAATTGAAGAAACTGAGGCAGACAAAGGTTAAGTGATTTGCCTGGGATCACACAGCTAGTAAGTATCTAATTTGTCAGATTTGAACTCAGATCTTTCTGGCTCCAGGTCCAGAGCACTAGCCAATGTACTACCTAGTGACTTTTAATCCTCCTATCTGCTACCCTTTCCACTACAACTTCTAATTTCATTGCTAATTTAAAAAGATATCATTTTCCTTTGAACAAAGGATAACCCTACACATGTCACACCTTTAAGATAAGGTCTCTTTGAAAGGAAAGAATATCCAGATGTGCACTAAAAATGCATAAAATACAATGCAAAACTTATTGTGAAAGTCATTTTTAAATTTTCTTTCCATTCCAATAAAAATATTTTATTCCTTTTTATCATCATTTCGCTTTTTGTCATCAGGAAGAGAGCAATGATGATAAAAAGGAATAAAACTAAATGTATGATGAATAAGCTGTCCAGGCTTGATACAAGTCATATTTTAGGGAGAATTATCACCTCTTTATTGTTCAGTTATTCTAGTTGTGTCCATCTCTTCTTGACCTCATTTGGGGTCTTCTTGACAAAGAAAAGAGTGATTTGCCATTTCTTTCTCCAGCTCATTTTACAGCTAAGGAAACTGAGGCAAACACGGTTAAGTGACTTTCCCAGTGATTTATGAGCACACAGCTCATGAGTATCTAAGGCGGGATTTAAATTCAAGAAGGTGAGTCTTCCTCACTCCAGGCCTGGCACTCAATCCACTGCACTACCTAGCTGCTGTATTATCACTCTTTTTGGACTAAAATCTCAAAAAAGAAAAAAAAACACAGAATTTCAGAGTTAGATTAAAGCATAGAGCCCATCTAGACCAATTCATAATTGAACAAGAATCCCCTCTACCATATTCCCAAAGTGGTTGTCTGGTCTTTTTTTGAAGATCTCCAGTAAGAACTCAGTACGTTTTAAGGTAGCCCAACCTAAGCTTAGATATTCTCCAGCCTCGATGCCTTCAGTGTGGTGATAACTTCATTCCCTGAGCCTCCTACTGAACTTCTATTGAGTCAAGCAACGTTTATAGAGCAATACAAGAAGGTGTGCCAGTAAACGTTTCCATAACCACTCTCTGGAAATAAAAATGTATGTACAAATATTTAAAGATTAATCTGCATTATTAAACACTTTCTAAGTCAGTCAACAAAATAGCACATCATAATAGTATCAAATCAAATCAAATCAAAATAGTAAGGTCCTGATTTATAGTAATTTGTGAATTTCTGTAGTGTAAATACAATCAGAGTTTAACAATAGGCTCTCCAAGCTTATCAGAGCAGTTGCCAGCATACCTTGGCTTATGTTGAACTGGAATCCCCCTTTCTTTGAATTTTACCCACTGCTCCTGGAACACCCTCTAGCCCTAAGCAAAACAGCATGGAGTAGTGAGGAAAGCACTGAATTTGAAATCAAAGGGCCCCCACATTCAAATCTTGGTTCTACAATTTATG